ATTGCCATTTTTTGTTTACCTATGACGTCACATAATAGAAGCTTCTGGATAACATTTGATAGGACGAGTTATTCCTCTTTACACATTACCGTAAAACAATATAAAGCAACACATCGACATTATGGGAGGCGGGGGGTATCATTTAGTGAGCTCATTGCTCACAGTACCTCTAGTTTTAGATCGGGTCTTGAATTCCATAATGTTTTACAACAATTAAGATTTGAATTAGGTCTGTCAGTGTTCATTAGCTTAGAAAGTAGAAAATTTTAATTGAAACAATTGTTTTCATGAATGATTCAGCTTTGTGCAATCCATGTAAGCATAAAATTTGAAGTTATTCTTTCTTTATAATTTAATTCAAAAATACATTAAAAAAAAATAAAAAATATATGCCATTGTTTAGACTACAAACTTTAAACTTTTTCTGCACAGATAATAATGAAGGAATAGTAGCTTATAAGAGTGTGACAGCTCAGTTCATTTTTAATCCTTTATATAAATGAATTGACAAGGGCTGTTCGGTAAGAATTGAGATATTTACTTTTATACCATAAAGGCCAGAGATTAATCCATCAAAATTCGTCAAAATCTAATAAAGAACGATATAACAAAGCGAAATTTTAAACTTGCATGTATATCTATCGACATGTGCAGCATCGACTATTTCTTTTAACATCACTTCAGCCACAGGTGTTCTTCTGGACAGCGGGATATGTGAAACGATCGGTAGGCATTTAATTATACCCCCTGCTTGAAAAGCTGGAGGGTATACAGTAATCGGTATGTCTGTCTGTCCGTCCGTCTGTTACACTTTGGGGTACCCATCTCTTATCCACAACTCCTCTCATACCTCAGAATGAAATGTGATGAAACTTTCAGAGAATCTTTATTACATATTGCCATTGTGCACCTCCTATCCTATTTTTTGATCCGACACATATTTTGGGTTTCTCATAGCAATACTGCCATAGTCATATTGGAGGCAGGGGGGGGGTCAATAATTTTTGAACAGTCTTCATATATAGATGTCTATCATCTTATAGCACCATTCTTGCGGCCTACTCAGAATAATAACAGCTTTTCCAGAAACACTTCCGGCCTTAGGATTATAAAACTCCCACCATGTTTTTTATTTGAAATGCAACAGGCACTGCCTGATGAATTGTTTTAAAAGCAGTGGTCAAATGAAAAAAAAATATATAAAAGTGTAATATACATGTAGGTAATATAGGAAATAGAAGAGGGGTTTTCAACTAATGGTCAAATGCAAAGAAGATAGAGGAGTACTTAGGTAATGGTCAACTGAAAAGAAAATAGAGGAGTATTCAACTAATAGTCAAGTTCAAAGAATATATAGAAGTGTTAAACAGAAGTCAACTACATACGTATTAGTTGATTGCCCCCTCATTATCATGGCAAACAAATCAATTATTGGTCAAATGACGGTAAATTGAACCGTTAACGACAATCGTCCACGAAACGTCGACTAAATACAACGATTGAATTCTAATGGAATTTTGGGTATCGGGGCCTTGTCCAATATTAATTACACGCAAATAATGCTGAACTTGTGTTAAATTCTTTCGTAAGAGAAAGCGACTTTCAGTTTGAAAAAAAAAAATCTTTTTGAATATTTTGATTGCAAGGGATATTGTTTTCTTGCAATAAAGGTTAGCAATAATTACTTGTAATTTTGTTTACAAACGTATCAGAGCAGAAAATGCAACTCATTCTTATGTCATGCATTATGTTAAGTATATTAAAATTCAAAAAGTGCTTTCAAACAAAAATATGACACGTTTTATCTCTAACCACTACGCTACTGGGGCGGTCTCTTTGTTGTTTATGTCTCTGGATTGGTTTAAAACGTCTACACAACAGTGGCGTTTGTCTTATGCATTATCTAACCAACAAAACTTTTCTGCAATCTCTTTTTTAGTCAACTTTTTACGAAGTCTATGGGCGTCCCATTGATTAAATATGTAAAAATAAAAACAAATTAAGAGTCCAAATTATCAAAATAGTTAATCTTTTTGTTGAAATATTACTGTTTAAAACAAGGGAAACTTTTACCATCAAGAAAGAATATATTTTATTTTTTTATTCATTTGCAATACATTTCTTGTGTCATTTTATACTAAAATCAAGAATATATTTTAAGAATATAACATTTAATATCACATGCAATATTTCTTTACTCCGATAAAGTAATTATGACTTTTTTTAAAACAAAAATGGTTAAATAATTAAGACAAAGAAATGCTAATAATTTTAGAATGCTTTTGAAATACGAGTGCTTACAGAAATGTCTTACATGTAATATCCTTGAGTTGTGTTAATTATTGTAATACAACAAGATGAGACAAATTATGTAAACTACACAGTGATATGTTAAATTCAACATATTTTCGTCTAATGATTTTTGCACGCAATGCAAAACAATTAGCACAGGCAAGAAAAAATGCTATGATATATCTGTTTCAATTAAAAAGCAAGAAACAATACAAGTGCTGCCTTATATTACTTATTACTGCGACATGGTGTTGAAGTGATATATGGTATATTTTTTTTATAAGGTCAGACCAACAAAAGGTAAAAAGTTCTGTCTATTTGATTTGTTACTTTATATAAAGATAAGACTTTCCTGTAAATTGTACAATTTAAATCGATAGCGTTTCATAGATATCACAGATTAAAAAAAAAACGATTTTTTCCAACTCAGAAATGAATACCAGGCACAGTTTAAAGTCAATTTACCTAACAGATACCTGGGGATATTTAAGTTAAAATATAGGTGAAAATTTGAATTTGAATAAAAGAAATTTGAAATGAAAAAAATTCATGAAAATCTACATGAACCCTTAATCTTGTATTTTTTATTTCTTGGCTCAGATACGCCATATATAGCCTTAAAATGATCTTAATATACTATGTGTATCCCAATTTTTCCCAATTATCCCAATTTGATCGTCAAAAAATCCTGATGTTTTCAGCGGGTAAAAAGTAAGAAAGAAGATCCATTGGCTTTTCAGAAGTTTTACAAGAAATATGCATTTTTTCGTCAATGTAGAATAAAGAGTGTTCAGGCGAACTAAAATGTTTATAAAGATGTTGATGGTTCCTACTACCTAGTTCAGACCTATGCCTAAGACTACAAATCATATCAATGTATTGATGAAAATATATGAATGATTTGAAAAATAACTTTCTTCTTACCTATCTTTTTTATGTCCTTGAAGTTTATCAAAACTACAATTCAGCAAGATTAACAAAATCAGGTAAACTGCCTACACAGGTAAAGTTAACTTTCTTATATTCAACAATCGACACATGCAATGAAACATATCTTTAAATAACCTCTAGATTTAATACATGCTATGTCTTGCTTCACACATTTAAGCAGCACGACGTTAAAAAACTAAACCAATTTTGCTTTTCCATTGAAATGATTTAACAATACAATCTGTAATCCAATAATTTTCTTGTTTAGTGTTTTTGCGTAAGGATTATTTAACTAGGTCTGTATACATTCTTAGCAGAGCAGAAATAGCAAAATATGCAATCTTTATGTCACCTTTCTTGTACCAAGAAAAATGACGATGTTAACTTTTCTAACGACAATCCATAATAAAATAATACACCCACTAAAATGACAATTGATTGTTTTTCTCGATATGCACATGGAGAGGACCATCTAAGTTTTTGGAACATGTGTCCAATCCCGTTGACATACTGTCAATAAAATATGTTCAAAAGAAGTGCTCGTTCTGTGTACAATCAATTTTTAACAGTAAATGATAAATACGCTCATATTACGGGAGCACTAACCATCTCAAAATCGAAACATCGCTTATTGTGTAATCGAAACAATGTTAATATTTGCAAATATAACTTCTCATTGGATCAATACCAAACACAAACTTCCTTTTATACAAAGTATCCTGAAATAAGTCAATGAATTGCAAATTTTAACAAATGAAACAAAGTATTTCCTTTTTTGTATGATTTTAGGTTGACGTTATTAAATCAGAGTTTTTCTGTTTATTAAAATGGTATGCTCACTCCTCAATGGCACCTGATCATGCCTCTGATGTTTCGGAGGTCGGTGATTGCACTGCTCCTGTTTTGTATTGTTTATAGACGTTTGATCTTGTTACATGAATCCCCATATGTTTCATGTGTATCAGTTGGCAGAGAAAGCGCTGGAAAGTTCTCCACATTTTTTTTCATACCAAACCAATAGAGTACATGCTTTGTTTTGTTTCACACATTAATACTATAGAGACATACATTATTCCCTGAAAAACATAATTCAACCAGTTACTTTATCCTTAGTTATATTTTGAGAGCTTTTTTATAATATAAAAGATAAACCTAAACATTTCTTACAACCCATGCTATGTAATAAGTGTCTAAATGTATTTTACTTTTGTGGATAACGCAAACTCATAACTTTGCCCTAGGAAACAGCCATTGTATGAACTAGTATCAAGAAGGTCCATAAATATTGTATATTGATATGGATTCTACCACATTTTTGCCGATATCAAAGAAATACCGCAGACTTTCTTCCCCAATAAATCACGAACGTCATCACAAATATCAAGTCAGAAACATATGTCAAACTGGTAGAGTTGAAATAAATGTTTCATTGTAGAATCTAATGCTTTTTTAGGTCATATCGATGTGTCGTTTTAACACAATCTACTGACGTGTATGCATTGCCAGAAACATATGATAAATGTTTTATTATATAGCACTATGGGGCTGCACCACGGCACTCCCCAAAATATTTACAGTTCCAGAGTTTACTGATAGAGTAATGAAAAAGACAACCGATTTTTCATTTATATTCATAAAAGTTATTTAATATACGAGGGTTGGCCGAAAAGTTCATGGACGATGTCAACTTTCGCTATACTACATGTACTTTCAAGAAATTAAAAACGAGCACTTTTTCATGATTATACATTATTCCAGGCTTACATTACTTAATGGGTAAAGAAACCATTGACTACATTAAATCACGTCCAAATTTTACTGTAACAAGTAGAAAAAGTTGAAAGAAATCATTCATGGTCGGTTTGACAGTCAAAAATTGATACAGTTACATCAGAGTTAATACACTTATTGACATTGTATTTTTCTATTGTTACAATCTATTATAAATTATATTGTTTTTCAACTTGAAGACACTAATGAAATCAGACTAAATAAAAATCACTGACGATTCTCCTTTTTCAACATCGATGTCTTCCTTGTCCCCTTTAATGCCTCTGTTTCTAAGCTGAAACATGGAATTGAATTTTTTTTCATAAAGAAGGGTAAAAATTATATTCTAATTGTACAAATGCTCATATTGTATTCCTTTTAATGGAGTTTTAACATTCTATAATATCGATGAAGCTGAATTTAAGGTAGTATATCAATAAGTATATGTACCACACTTGATCTTCTGCAGGAAAACAAGCGCTGGCAGCACGTGTCCTGCTGGACAGTTGTCTGTTTGAAAAACAAATAAAAAATAGATCTAGAGTTGCAATGTAGTTTGTGTTGTTTAATTTTTATAGTATAGACAATATTATACATGTATAAAGAATTATGAAAATTCACATATTAGTTAAAATTTGATAGTAAAAATTCTGAGGAAATATTTTTTAATTGCATGAAATTTATAATAACAATTGATCTTTAAACTCTATCATCTCATATAACTCTAACTCTGACCAGATGGTTATAAGATGTTCATAGTCTAGCATTCCTGTTTCATGGAAAGAGATCCATTCTTTCGATTGAACACGTATTTGGTGATTCTCATCAGTCACAATGTCCTTAAATGCATCAACAAACCACTGAACATCAAGTATAATAATTTCAGATAGATGTTTTCTATTGAAAAATGAAATTTTGCCACAATCATGGAAGAATCGTAGCATGTCCAGGACATCTTCGTTATGTGTTGGAATTTCACACTTGCTAAATTTGGATAAATCCGAATAATGTATCAATCGTTTACTTTTCAAACTATGAAGGTCCTGATTAAATTCTTCCAATAGTTTTGGAACTATTTCTCCATAACTTGATTATTTCTAAATCATGTCAACAATACACTTCTCCAATCTATCAATTTTATCTCTGCTTTCCCCTGGTTTTCCTAACTCAAAGTAATTCTTTCTATGGAGATGTTGTTGTAATTGACTTACATCTGGGAGTTGTGAAAGAAAACTGCCGAAATTATCTTCTTTCTAAAGCAAGAAATACACTTTGGAGTTTGATTTGTACATAACGACATGATGTTACACGGATTTCTATATTGTAACATAAACCTCGTAGACTTATTGGTATGTGATAATTTATAATCACTTTTTTTCTAACAAATTGCTTTCTTATTAGCAATGAAAGATCATTTTCATTTAATTATTCCAGATATTTCTGAAAAAAAATATTAGTGACATGTATTAAATTTTCAATATCCTACTTTAATTAAAGTTAAATGATTATGATAAGGCCATTTCATGATTTTTTTTTCTTTTTTGCGTCCAACCATCCTTCTAAAATTAATCTATTGGCGAAAAAAAAATAACACAATCCAAACAAAAGTCCCATGGGCCACAATGCTCATTTGAGTCAGTATGACCTTGTTCTTCTTCAACAGTGTTTATTTTCTTACATTTACTTTTTATTTGCTTTTTTCCGTGATAACATTTTCAAAATAAGGTGAGATGATGTATTCCTAATTCAACCGTAATGTAAAATTCACCATATGAAAGACTAGAAGATAAGGGGGTCTAACATGCATGTCTATCTTTTGCAGGGACTATTGAAATTAACTTGAATGGTCATCTCGTGTAATTTAAACGTGGGATAATTTGTGAAAAACGGGCTTCCAACATCGTGCAATTTATCCCACGTTTCCAACTAGCTTTGACTTCCTGGCATACCCAGCAAATTAGATAGTGATTCCTTGATAATTATCAAGTTTATGACCAAAACTCTAATTGTTTCTTAATATGAAGCAATTTTGTTCCATTGCTATAATATTTCAGTATTTAAAGAGTTTTGTTGCTTGTAATATTTTGTGAGTGAAGAAAAAAATGGCCATAGTGTTAAAAATTGAGGTATTTCCCGCGAATTACTCAGAGGCCACTAGCATGAAAAGTAGGTCATTGACCTAGTAATTTGAAATTGAAATTTAACACCAGAATTGTAGGTTTACAATGTGCAATAGTTGGTTTTTTATTCTTATAAGTAGAATTTTTGGTCATCTGAGGAAAGGTATACATTAACATCTTCACATTCCATAACTAGTATAATATACGGATATGAAGTTCCTGCAGATTCACTTATACTGAAATCGAAGTGAATGTTCTTCTTAAATAAATATTAGTTAAAAATCAAAGAGTCCTTAAATATTTATATAATTATGAGCTAAGCAAAAATAAATAAAAAGTAATTTGTTACCCTTATGTTTCGGAGTCTTTTTTTTAAGTTAGTGTTTTTCACATTGAATTTCACATTGTCGAAGAGATTGCACTTTTTTTATAAATCGAAAAGACTAAAGGAAGAAATATATAACCAATACAAAAATTTTTAAAGATTGACCAACTTTTAAAAAAAATAACTTGGCCGTAACTTTTGAACTTTAAGAATCACGACTTTTATACTTCAAAGATTTATTCCTTATGACTAGGCCTTCCTTTGAATACAAAACATCTGACCTTTAAGCCTTACCTCGGAGATAGCCTTGCATCTGAGAACTTTCCGCCCACACCATGATCTTTAAAAAATTAATTGTATGTTGTTTCAGGTTCCCTTTGAGAATTTTTCACTCATATAGAGACGTCAACAGATACCAGCAAAGGGCTTCAAATTTTGACCATTTGTCGGCACTCATGGTAATGAAAAAAGGATATATACAATGTACTGACGAGAGACAATAAAATATTCAACTTTAGTACTTTGTAAATATAGAAAAGGATAAGAAATCGAATAGTATATATGACTAAAAGTATAAAGTGCGCGAGCTTGTGAGATTTTGGTGATCAGATAAATTGTTCTTAAATACAATTATTGACTTTTGATGAGGTCTACTCTTGACTATACGGACCTATATTGTTGACCGTCATTTAATTCTCAAAAGAAGTGTGAAGGATAGCATTGTTCTCCCGCCTACCTCGAAGTCACTTTTCAAATGTTAACATATTTGAATGATTTTTATTATTTTTATTTTCGTAAAACATTACTTGTTTGGGAAAATAAAGAGACACAACTCAAATTTTTTTTGTAAATCTTGTGATTTTCACTACAGAAATCAACAGAAAACAGATAATATTTCTAAAACATTTCTCTCCCCCCCCCCGTGAAACGAAAAATTCCTTTTTACAGGTAAAATGGACTGTCATTTGACAAATTCGTACCAAAGCTTTTTGTATTTCACGGGGGGGGGGGGGGCATACGTTTATAGACAAAAAAATGACAAAAAATATCTTTTCACAAATTTCAAGGCGGTTTACAACTAAAACATTGTATTTTAAAAATATATATATATGTTCAATTTTATATGTGTTACATATATGAACAAATTTTAGGAACTTTTAATCATATTCAAGACTATTTCAAAATAAGGTGATGTTTGAAAGTCCGATTTCAATGGAACATATCGTCTATCCTCTTTTTTGCAAGAGATAGAATTAGGGATAACTTACTATTTAGCGCTGGTATTAAAAGAAATAATCAGTTACCATTGAACTGTTCTTTGCATGAAACAAAGATTTTTTTGCCAAATTGCTATAAATATTGAATTAAATGGGTGCAAAATGTAGGCGGGATTCTCGAGCTAGCATGCGTAGTTCTTTGGAATGCCCATTAATACGTGTCTATCGACATACTATTTTTTAAAAAAATTAGAAATATGGAAAAGAAAACAAAATTAGCAAAATAGATACATTTCTCAACAGAAGAGGAAGGGTGGTCATAAGGAAGGGAAGATGAATTAAGAATGTGCCATTAACAATGATTCATTGGTCTATATATCAGGCAGATTGATCATAAAGCCAAAAAACAAACAAACAAAAGGAGAACGCATTTCTTTTTATTTTAGAAGCTGTGGATAACTCTCATTACATAACAACCTGTTTGGCACAAATTGAGCTTAATAAAATTGGCAGAAGCTTCGATTTTAACGAAACAAGGGATTTTATTTCGATTTTCTAGGTAACTCGAATAAACCTAATTCTTCGTTATGAAAGTTATTGGATTTTTGTTTATGTTTTCCCAGTTTAATGTATGCCTTTTAGTAGACAGTTTTATAGCAATACAATCATTAATACTTAATACACAGAAATTAGACTGTCTGTACGTACTGATAAAGAGAAACGAATACGTATACTCGTGTTTTGCTTTTATGCGTCATTGGTATTGATTAAGTCAACATACCATCAACGGTTGAAATTTCTATAAAACCAAGTTTAAAGTTACGTAATGAGTCAATATCAAACTATTGTATTTAATACTTTTGTCAATATCCAGGTTTTTCCGTCACGGTGTTTCTAAAATTAGAATAATGAGGGGATATAAATCAATAAAAACGACAAAAATGATTTAGCTTAGTGCCCTTCAAAGATCTGTATTCTTACGAACCACTAGATCTGAAATAACAAAACTTCAGGAAAGGAATTCGATTAATAATTAAAATAAAATGTTAATAGTCGACAAAAAGTTTAGTAAATGTAGTGACCTTAAAAAGTCTGTATTTTTAAGAATTATATCTGAAAGGACCAATCTAAATTCCAAACGAAACATCTTCAAATCAGAGCCAGTCCAATTGTGAAATCTCCAAACTTTCTATTGTTGTTGTTGTTATCTTGTTTTGTAGAGCAGTAGGTTTGAATAAACTATGGTACGTACATGTATACATGGAGACCGATTATTTGGATGAGACAAAGTGCAGTAGGTGTGGAACAAAAAAAAAATCTTCCTTGATCAATGGCCTTTAGTGATGAGTATATCTTTGCAGTCCTTCATAAGATATTTGATTGCGTCTTCATTTGAGCTTATTTAAATATTTTTGAGAGGGACGTACTACAATTAACAAAGAAACCCTAGAAATTTTGTTATTTTTTTCAGTATCTACTGCAAACCAGCTTTAATTCGCGTGCGATATTTTTTTGCGAAGTTCGCGAGGACCTCTTAATCGCGAATATTTCTCGCCGCTAACTGGTCCTTAAAGTGTATATGTCTTTTAACAACAACTCTAAAAGAGTTTGATCTCGAAAATAAATCGTTGCGAACTAGTTTATCCCTGGTACATCGCGAAATAAAGTCTTCGCGATTAAAAGTTGGTTTACAGTATTTCTTAATATATGAACAAGTATTTTTTTTTTAATTGAAATATTTATGTGACCAGGAGTGTTTGAAGTTTGAACAGTGGTGTGAGTTTGTGATATTACAAAATCGGTAGAAATTAACAAACATGCGTGGTTTTTTTGTTTTTTTTGTTTTCA